CTCTGATGAACATCTCTCTGACACAAGTGAAATTTTAGTCAATTGACCCCCGCCTCCCTTCCCCCACCCTCCCGCTCCCGCCCTCTCCCCCCTCCTCCCGCTCAGATATTACTATTCTTACAATATATATATATATGCATTGTCTGAGACCAGTGTTTCTATCTCTCTCTCAGAGCTCAATTTCCCCCCTTCATCTCCCATTAGAATCCAATTTCATTAGCTAAATTAGTTGTTCCTGTGTGTGGCTCCGTACATCGTGTAATGATGATGGTTACACCATTATTCTTCACAGAATGCACAGGGTGGTGTTCTGTGTGAAGCCATTTGAGATTGAGACGTACGATTTAATAGCACCAAGGACAGCTAGCAAGCGTTCATGCCGTGAAGGGAAGTTGCTGTGATGTGCATTATTTTGTATAATCCTTACAATAACTCGCAAGGCAGGTGCTCCTTAACCCCGTGTCACCAGGGAGGAAAAATGGAGGTCTGAGGAAACTCATTCACAGGTCAAAGATCGGCCTCTTAGGTAGCACTAGGTACCAGGATTGTCTCCAACAGTGTTTGCCTTTTTATCCCAGAGGATCCCTGTGCCACTGAAGAGCGGACGATTCCATAGATACTGCTCCACTCTGCCAGGTCTATGTACCCAAAAGCCAGATCCTTTGAAAATAACCCTACAAACTCAACAAAAAGCCTGTCAACTAAAATTCCTGGAGTTGGTCATCTCAGCTCAAAACCTCTACATCTCACCCAGAGACCCCCACCCTGGCAGCTTGAAGCAGATGGAGAAGTTTCGCCATTTATTTGAGGTCTGACTTTGATACAGAAGGTAAAACAGCGAGGCAACTATAGCCTCGCTCTCCAGCTGGGCTACATTTTCCACTCTGGGTAAGCTTGAGCCGCAAGGAGGCTCGTTAGCATACAACCAGGCCACCTATATGTTTATGAGGGTCATGGATCTTCCGTTCAGCATTTGCCTGCCAGCACACTGGCTTTGCATTTTGCCACACAGATTTAATTCTCCTTAGTGGGAGAAAGAAAACCCACATTAAGAAGTCATTTCCCTCCTCACAGAGGCAGACATGACGCCGTTGCTACAGGCAAGTCAAACGTGATTGGTATTCTTCTACCCAAGAACTAATTTTCATTTTGATACCACCTTTAGGTCTGTTACAAATCCATCTTGCA